AGGGGCTTTGGGAGGCGGACGCGTCCACGTGGGGGTGCAGGGGGTGCGGAGGGAAGACCGACAGAAAGAGTGCAAATGGGACGGTTACGGCTACCGCCGAGGTTTCGAAGGCATTCTGCTACGAGGAGGACGAATCATTAGCTTAAATGCTCACAAAGAACATCACCTAAGACAGCTCTTTATACCTTTACATACTGTATCAATAATTTACTTTGAACTGCAGTAAACAAAATACATTTCTTAAATAATTTACTATTTATTTGTTTTGTTTTTTCTATCTCTCTGTAAATTTAACTTTTTTTTTTTTTTTTTCTTTTTTTTTTTTCTTTGTAACACAAGAAACTGTGTTCGTGCACGTTAGTTCAGATTATTGCGACATTTAACCTGAATTTCAGTTAAAAAAGGAAAAAAAAAAAAAGCAACAGGACAGTTGTGCGGAGAAGAATGAATAACTTATTATTGCACTGGCTACAATTCAGTAGTGATTTGGTTTTTTTTTCTGTAGTTAGGACAACCTCTAAAGTACAAAAGAAAAATGAGAGAGACGTCTAAAGCGTCAGCTGTGAAAAGAAGCTGGTGGGATGATGGTGGCGGGAAGGGGGGGAAAAAAAATGACAGCGAAGAAAGAAGAGAAACATTTGGAAAACGAATGGCCGCAATAATTAGTTCCACATAAAACCCAAGGAAACACCACCCAGTTGCGGAGTCACATGTAATGCAAAACCCAGTATTGTTTCTCTATAAAAATATGTGCATTATGAAGAGAGAGTTTTTGTGGGTATATTTTTTTTTTTTGTCTTTTTTCCTTGTTTTGTATCTCACAAATACATTATTTCTATTTATATAACTGCTGATATACAGACAATGTACAGCTCCCATCTCCTGGGCACTCCCCCGTAATGTGACATCTCTAAAAGGTGCCTTGTTAAAAGTTGAGCATCTTTAAAAAAAACAAAACCCGACAAAACCCAAAGAGAATCCCCCAAATCCCACCGCCACCACCTCGAACCCGAATCAATGTGATTGAGGCCACGGAGCGGGGTGGGGGGAACGAAGCAACCCCCTGGATCGGCTCCACCTTCCCTTTAGAAAAGAAACCCCCCAAACCGCTTTGCAAATCCGCTCCCCCCACCCTGAAAAACCCATCACCGTTTCGTCCAGCCGTTTGTTTGGTTTCTTTTTCTGTTTAATGTTTTTTTTTCTTTTTCCCTTTTTTTGGGTTGTTTTTTTTTTTTTTGGTGGGTTTTTTTGCAAACCTCCACAGCGCTTAAGAACAAGTGACTGCGGGAAAGGAAAAAAAAAAAACCAAAACCCACGAGAGAGCAGCTACCCACGTACCCGTGGCCGCTCAGTCCCTTCGGTTTGGGAACCCACATTGGTGTCAAGCCCTTGAGACCCCCCCCGCTCCCCCCTCCCGAAAGCTATACTGGGTCATCTATGTCTTCTTCTGTTGCAACAGTCACCGGGACCAAGTCCTCCTTCCGGAGGGGGCTCGTAGCAATGCCCAGGAGCTCTTTGCTTTTCTCGGCGCTGCTCCACTGAGTTTTTAAGTGATCCGGCTTTTTCAGTTCGGAGGCGGCGGGGTCCGGCCGGGAGTCCACGGAGGCCGGCGTGGACTGACCGCTGTCCAGGAGGAGATCCGAGAGGCTGCTCAAGGAGCTGCCGTCCGACTGCTCGAAGGAGAAGTTGGGGATGGTCAGGTGCTCCCCGCGGCACGGGGGCTGGCCGCGGCGCTCCGCTTTGGAGGCCGCCTCCCCGGGCTGGCTGTCCGCGAGCTCCAGGGACTCTCTGTAAGCCGGGAACTCGCAGGATGGGGTCCTTCGCCGCAGCATGCTGTTCTCAGAGGGTTTGGTGCGCGAGGCCGCCCCGCCGTCGTCCTCCATGGGAGGATCTATAGAAATGCAGGGCGGGCTCATCTTCTTCTTCCTCCGGGCTCCGTGGATGTACTCGGACTCCGTCTGGATGTGGGCAGGGGACCGCTGCTTTTCCTCAGCAGGGTCCGCAAAGCTACAGTCCCCATCGCTGATGGAGGGGCAGATCTCGATGGAGTGCCGCCTTTGGTCATCTGCCCAGCTGGGCTTGTTGAGGAAGCCCTTCGTATCGATGCTGTAAAACTTCTTCAAGTCCTTCTCCTTGCTGCTGCCCCCGGAGAGGCTGGTTGTGCTGCAGTTCTTGAGGGGCACTGGAGACGGGGCCGGGGAGATGAACGGCGAAGTCGAGCGGCTCCCAGCGTCCGAGTGCTCCCCTCCCCAGTCTTTGGCCGAGCTGTTGATGTGGCGAAC